TCCTTTCCTTCAGGTCAGCTTTTTGGGGCAAATCACACAAATACCATCCTTTTTTTGCAGGTGGGGGTCAAGCTTTGTACTTCCTTGTGCTCCCACGGGGCATGAGACTGAGCCAGGTTCTCAACTCCAGCACCAGCCTCCAGGTGCCCCCAAGCCCTGTAGGAGTGTCCCCATGGCCACATTAGGTTGTGGCTCTGGTGGTGGGGACTGAGAGAGGAGGCTTATACTGGGGGAGTGCAAGTTTTTAGCTCTGTGTCCTTCTGCCCTGCTCCTGTCTGCTCTCGTGGGAGCCCCTGGGTCTACCTGTCTGAGAACCAGAGCCATTAATCACGAGGTGACAGGACACACCACAGACCTTGGCACAGCCCCGTGCTGGGCTTCCTCTCCCAGCGCCCAGAGCAGCACTGAGCTGCTGCCTGGGGTTCCAGGCAGTGCGGGGGAGGAGGCAGAGGGCAAGGGGAAGGAGGGCGAGGAGGAGGACGAGGAGGAGAGGAGAAAGACAAGGAGGAGGGAGGAGAAAGAGGAAAATGAGGGCAGAGAAGTGAGGGAAGGTGCAGTGGGTTCAGTTGTGTTCCCCCCACAAAAGATTTGTCCAAGTCTGCACCCCTGGTACCTGTGAATGTGACCTTAGTTGGAAATAGTATTTTTGTAGATACAATTAAGGATCTTGCGATGCGATCCTCCTGGATTTATAGTGGGCCCTACATCCAAAGACTAGTGTCCTTGTGAGAGAAAGGTGAGGGAGATTTGACACGGACCCCGAGGGGAAGGCCAGGTGACGATGGATGGTAGAGGGATGCGTCAATAGGCCAAAGACAGACGGCCAAGGATTGCGGGCAGCCGCCAGGTGCTGGGAGAGAGCAGGGAACAGATGTCCCCTCTGAGACTCCAGAAGGAACCTACCCCGCCAACACCTTGGTTTCGGACTTCTGGCCTCCAAAACCGTGAGAATAGATTTCTCTTGTTTTAAGCTACTCAGTTTGCGGTAATTTGTAACAACAGGCACAGGAAGCTAATACAGAGGGAAAGGAAGAGGGAAAGGAAGGGGGAAAGGAGAAAGAAGGCGGAGGAGGAGCAGGGGCTCCTAAAGGGGAGAGGTTTGGAGGCACTTAAAGGGCCGGAAAGATGGGAAGTCAGAGAGCAGCTTCATGTGCCTGGAGGGGCAGGGAGGGTGTGATGAGAGACAACCTGGGCCAGTCTGTGCAGGACATTGGCTGTCACACCAGTAAATTAGGGATTGATAAACTATAGCCTGAGGCCCAGTCCAGCCCTCTGCCTGCTTTTATAAATAAAGTTTTATTGGAACATAAACACACCCGTCTACTTTTCAGCCGTGATGGCAGAGTTGAGTCATTGCAACAGACACCATCTGGCCATCAAAGCTTAAAATTACTTTGTGGCCCTTTGCAGAAAAGCTCTGCTGACCACTGCTACAGCACACTTCTCAAATCCCGAGACTTCCACGGTGCCCCTGGCCCCTCCACCAGGTAAGATGGGCGGAAGTCAGCACTGCCCCAAGGTGGTGTCACCAGGACTCTCCTTGTTGCTGACCCCACCCTGTGCCAGGTGGGTGGTCACTACATCTGGTTCTATTCACCTCTCTAGTCCTGACTTGGCCCAGAGTAAGCACTCAGCAATTATTCACTGAGTGACCCAGCGGCTCATGAACAGACCAGAGAATATATCTGGGTTCCCCACAGGCTGGAAGACTCATACCAGTTAACCCATTGGGGTGGTCTCTTCCTTGTCCATCTTCCTCTCCCCTTCCCCCCCGGGTGTCACCATTTCCCTGCAGAGGGTCGTTAGTGGGACAGGTGCAGAGACGACTCTTCCCAGGGTCTGAGCCTCCAGGCCAAAGCATCTTCCTCCTGATTGGGGCTCCCTTGACTTTGGAGGGTGCCCGGGCTTCGGGGGGCTTACTCTCTCAGGACGAGTGAGCAGGTGGCTGGGCTTAGCATCCCTTCAAGCTGGGAGACCCTCTTGGATTTTCCCATTGGCTTGAGACCGGGAAGTTCTAAGCCGTAGATTATGAGAGGCCTGGGGAGGGTGGGAAGATGTGGGGACGGGGGACTTTGGTCCCTGCCAGGAGAAACGAGGGAGGCAGAGCCCTGGCCTTCGGCCTGGATAACTGGTCTGACCCCGGCTCTTGCACGTATTGGTCCTGCAGCTTGGAACAAGCCGCCCTGCCTCCCTGGGCCTCAGCCTCACTTCCAAGAGTGGTCCTTAGATCGCCTACATTAGAATCATCTGGGAGAGCTTGTAGACTCTTGGGCCTCACCCTGGACCTAGAGTCAGAGTCTTGGGTGCTGGTCTGGAATGCTGCATTTCACAGCTCCTGGAGGTCCCTGGGAGGGAGAGATAGTGCTTGCCAGTTGGCCTCCGTGAGCCACTCCATGAAGCCCTTTAAGTGTTCCCTGGAGACAAAGAGGAATTTATTCCTCTGTAGTGATTACTGGGGCAGGAGAGGGCCCTGGACACACGGTTTCTGGTCCTGTTGCCCGTTCCCCCAGGTGGCCTGCGTGCCGGGAGGAGGGCAGGACAGGGAGATGGAGGGGCATTAGCCGCAGCAGCAAGCCCTGGGGGATGGGGCTCCTGTGAGGACAGGAGAGGCGGAGGCCTGTGAGAGGGTTTGCCCTCTGGCTCGCCCCTCCCAGCCCCCCGCCCCTGCCCTCCTGGCGTGGAGACCCCCTCTGCAGAGAGGAAGCTTCAGCCGTGGAAAATGACCACGGGTGAAACTGCCAAGGCTTTTCAGCAAGCAGTCTGTTGCGGAATTAGTCATGGCGTACCAGAGCTGGGAGGGGCCTCAGGAATGTTCTAGCTCTGCTCTTTCATGTTCTAGATGCGGAAACAGAGGCCCAGAAAGGGGAGTGTCTCGCCTGACGTCCTCCTGCGAATTGGTGCTGGACTACAGCTTAGAGGCCAGGCTTCTGGAATCCCGCCTCTCGGCCCTCCTTGCCCAGGGTCTCACAGACTCCAGCTCATTTGCAGATTCTGCAAGTTACCTTTGTACTTTCCGCCACATTGGCATCCATTCTGTATCATTATCCGCTTAGCATTTTCCCAGATAGACTTTTTTGTTTTGCTTAAATAAATAAATTTATTTTGAAAGCAAACCTCACATCATAACCACAAGTGGATTACCAGTATCATGTGTCATAAACAGGTCAGTGTAGAAATAATTACAGAACCATCGACATAAATCATCTTTGTCTGCGTACCCCTTAAACTCATCTTGAAAACTACCAGTGGGACCCTCACTGGGCTTTCGGAAATGCTGAAGTCTGGCAGTGTGGGAGATGTATGGATTTAAGCCACATTCAGGAATAATCTAGAGGGGATGGTCTCAGGCCACCAGGGTTCAGTCCTAGTGCTAACCTCTCACTAGCTTTTGCAGGTGACTTATCTTCTCTTCTTGGTTTAATCATCTCTGAGGTGGGGCTCACAATTGTGGCAGTTCAACGAGAGAATGGCCGTGAGGGTGCCGTGAGAGCCACAGGGCACTGTCTGACGTTATGACTGCTATTTTGCCTACTGGGGGGTCTGCTCTGGGTCCAGCTGGATAGCTGACATGGAACATGCCAGCATCTTCAGTGGGGGACTGGAATGAGTGGCCTCCTTGTTGCCATCAGCTATTGTCAGGCTAGGGGAAGGGAAGCTGTTCTGGGAGGCGAGAGTGAACCTGTTCTCTCTCTCTTCTCTCTTTTTATTCTCTCTCTCTCTCCTCCAGAGAGGACGGTCATGGGTTTTATGTAGGTGCAGCAAGGGGCACTCAGGTTAGATCCCCAGAATTGCTTCTGTGAATGCTCATTCAATTCCCTGCAAGTTATTGATGAACTTCTGAAGATTGAGCTGCTTTCCTACTGATAGGCTCAGCTACAGGGAAACTCACCGGCACCCTGGGGACGGGATCTGTAGCCTCCAGGGGTCTTCCCCTTGTCTGCAGCTCAGCACCACCCCACATCTCCCTCTTGGAAGACTAGACTGAGGGGAGCGGGTGGCGCTCTGTGTACAGTAGAGAGGACATCACGGGCTCACCCGAGCTTCCTTCCCAGCCTTTCCTTGGATTAAAGGGGCAGAAAGGAGGTGAGAACTGGGAACGTCCTGTGAAATACTCCAGGCTCATCGACTACCAGACTCCAGTGGACCCTTGAGACATCACCATCTCTGTTTCCTCCCCCCTCAGCCCAAGTGGTTCACTGGGGATGAAACTGAGGCCAGAGTGGAAAGGGACTTTCCTGGGGTCACACAGCAGGCTGGGGTAAAACTGATCCCGACATTGCGGATTCCTGACTCATAGCAGGGTGCTTGTGTCCACCTCAATGCCCTTACTTGAGCTGGTTCTCAAGGAGGGGTCTGAGATCTACCTGGTCATTGCTATTTGGGGACATGCCCTGGAGTGGGCCACTGGCCTGGGTTGAGGGACACCCTGGATCAGCGTGGGCTGATCCTGGGCAAAGCTTCAGCCATTACAAGCTGTGCAGGATGAACTCTGCTCATGAAGGAGAAGAATGTGCTAGACTGAGCAGGGGTTTGGGGGCAGCCAGTGCCACGTCCTGACTCAGCTCTTCTGCTTACTAGCTGTGTAGTTTGGGGGCATCACCTACCTCTTCTCTTCCATGGATGAGTTTCCTCATCTGTGAAGTTGTGATAACCATGCTTTTCTACTGAAGTTAAAGAGGAGACACACACAGCCTGCAGGACGATGCCTGCCACACTGTAAACGCTGGGTCAATAGACGGTAACAAGCATTCTCAGTGGCGGCCTGGTTACGGGAACGAACCCTGGGTGCCTGCATTCTGCACCTGCCTGAGGCTTGGTGTCCGCATCTGGCCCTCGGTCTGGGCTAGACAGAGAGGTCTTTAGGCCGAAAGCTCAGTGCCTGACTTCTCTGAATTTTGGAGTCCTGTCTTCTGTTGATACGAAACAGCTTTCTTTCTGCCTGAGCCTAGCTGGGTCTTGGAACCCAGGGAATGGATAAGAAATGACCAGAAGCCACTTACCCTGGGGCTGGTCCTCTGGGGCCCTCTCCAGCCTGGAGCCCGCAGCTCCTGCTTGCCTGGTGCCCCCTCCACCTGCCCCTTCCGGCCCGACCACATGGCTCCTCTCATCAGGCCTCTTTAAGATCTCCTCGATGGAGAAGGACAGGCCCAGCTTCTTCGGGGCTTCACAGCACCCCAAGTTCTTCCTCTCCATAACCCCACAGAGAGCAGGGCCGGCTTGGGCACACTCTGGGCAGCTGTGAGGAGAGGCAGAGCGGGGCTTTGCGTGTGCCCAGGGTGTTGTCGAAGGAGGGTGCGTACTTCCTCTCTGAAACTCCTGGAATCAAGAGGGCAGGCAGACGTGGAGAATGAGGAGCCTCATGTCGGATTATCCAAGCACAACTCCATCTCTGCAGGGACTTCCATGGGCCACCTCAAAAGACCCCTGGCATCAAGGAGGCAGGTCCCGTCGGAGGACCCGGAATGGGCTGTACCCTGTGCCCGTGGGCTCAGAGCCCTTGCCGGCTCAGTGTCAAGGGGGTCACCATTGCCAAATTGGGTTCAGTCTTACTATGAAGGGTCTTCTCCTGGGTGGTCACCTTCACAGCCCCCAGCCTAGGCTACAGGGGTCACTGCCAGTGGGGAACAAGGCAAAGATCCGGAAGGAAGAGGGAGCCTGCCCCCAGAGGAGATCTGGAGCAGTCTGTCCACCTTTGCCCTTTCTCTGGCTCGTGGCCCTTTCCTGCTGGCTCAGGACAGGCCTCTGGAAGGCTGGAGTGCCTCCTTTGGGCCCCAGGTGGCCAACTCAGTCCAGGGCCACACCGCAGCTTGAGGAGTGTTCCCAGAAACCCTCCTGGACTCCTTTCACTTCTGCTGCTGGAAGACTCCAGAAGAGGCCTCTCGGAGCCTGTGTTTCTGCTGTCCTGTAGGTGGAGGCTCAGGGAGGGGCTCAGTGGGTCCCTGCCAGGCTCTCTCTCCGTGACGGGGCTGGGCAGAGTGCTGCTCTCTGAACCTCCCCAGGTGTCTCTGGTCTGGCCCCGACTTTCTTCAGTTCTCCTCTCCCTAACCTCACTTCACAAGTCTCCCCACAGCCTCCTGGCCCAGGGTGGCTCCTCCTTCTTTTTGGGGTCCTTTCTGCTTCTTTCCTACTTGCACGCCCTTACCTGCCTCCTGAGACAGCACTGAAGGGACCCTTTCTCTGTGTCCAGTAAACTGCCGGCTGGGAGCTGACAGGCATCGACCTGCCCCTGCCAGGCGTTCTGCTCCCAATTACTGTGTAACCAGGGAGGAGGGGGCAGGAACGGCTGATAAGGGAAGAAACTCTCCACCTCCTTAAGACCGAGCATACACGTGTCAGGGGAACGGGCAGGGGGCGGAGGGGAGCTGAAGGATGGGTATTGGGGGCCCCCGGGAGGGGCCATGCTGGGGAACAGGCCAGACCAGAGCAGGACAACGGGAGGTGGGAGCAGGATGGCCAGGAAATGTCCCAAGCCCCAATAAAACGTGTTTACTCAGCCAGGAGAGTTTATGGGTCACATATAGGCTGGAGGCTGGGCCAGGGTGCAGGCTGCTGGGTGTCGGCTGCGGGCAGTCCCTCTGGAATATGCCTTCCAGGGCTTGCAAATATCAGAGGGGGAAGGCCTTCTGAGCCCTTAGGGTGTGTGTGGGGAAACTGAGGCCAAGACCACGGGGGTGTAGTGGATGTCATGGCAAGGTCTGATTTCTAAGTACTCCATTGGGGAGCTCCAGGATGCTGTGCTGGCCACACGGAGCCGATCTGCATGAGAGTGACAGATACCCCCGGAGGGACTGTGAATGTGAATTGGGACATCAGAACCCAGACCTTCTCACAGAGGGTGGGGGTGGAGAAGGCTGATCCCCACTCCCTGAGGAGGCTGAGCCAGGAGAGTGAGGGACTCACCTGAGATGGGGACGGGAGCCGTGCCCCCTGCAAGTGCTGGGCTGTCTGATCTAGCTGGGGGAGTCTGGGCTCTGTGGCAGTAACAAGGAAACCTGAAAATCTTAGGAGCATCATTGCTCACCCGTGTCCCAGTCTAATTAGTGGCACATCCATTCAGGGACTCAGGCTTCTTCCAAATGGTGATGACCAAATGGTGTGGCCAGAATGAGTCACATGACCCTGCCTAGACGCAAGGGGGCTGGGAAATGGAGTTCTCTGTGCTAGGAGGAAATGACCCAGTTTGCTGGATGCACAGGGAAAGGCCTGCTGTGTACCCTTCATGGTCAGGAGGCCACAGTCCCACAGAAGAAAGGCCCACCGTTGGTTGGCTAAAGGAGTTACTGCCTTGGGAGAGCAAATTTCCTTCCACTTGGTGCAGAGAAGCTGTGATGGATACTTGTGGTGGCCGGTGAAGAGGGAAGACAGGGACTTCAGGGCTGGAAGCAGCAGAGGCAGGAAAGGAGGGGAGGAGATACCATGGAGCCAGGAGCTGTGCACATGTTTACTCCACCCAACAGTCCCGTCTACTGGTGTCATTAACGCCATTTTACAGGCGAGGAGATGCGCCCAGAGAGGTGGAGTGGTGGGTATAAGGCTGCACAGCAGAAGAAGTGGTGTTCAATCCAGGTGAGCCCAGCTCTAAAACCCACGTTCTGCTCCCTTTGCCATAATCCCCAGAGACCATCTGGTCCAACTTTCTCATTGCACAGATGAACCGAGTCTCAGAGAGAGAAGTCACCAGAGTTACGCCTGTCATTTTTAGCACCTCATTTGATTTCCTTTTATTTTGCCTGTCTTTGGGGTGAGCCTCACTCCTTGGAAAGTTAAGAAAAACACCCATTGTGGTGTGGACCCAGACCCTTGCCCTCCTTCCCAAACCATTGCCGCATGGTTAGCCACAGCCCTGGCACTTGCAAGTATGTTCGTCCCACAAATGTTTCTTCTTAAGTATCTACCATGTGCCATCCACTAGAGAGATGTAGATGAATGAGATACAGACCCTGCCCTGAGGGACGCACATTCTGGGGAGGGAGTCGGGGTGGCAGGGAGAAGATGGTGGCAGATGTGCCAGGGAGACCAGGCGGAAAGTGGTCAGTGGTCAGTGATGGGATCTTGTGGGAGTTCAGACAAGTAAGAGACTGTGTGGCTGTTTGGATCAAAGAAGGCTTGGACGTGGAGGAAGGAGAGAGGTAGGGAAGCCAACACACACAATTCTGTCATTTAATTCTCCTAAACACACAAACACACAGTCACCCTGCATGGTGTACTGTGAGTGTTTCATTGATGGGAGACAGGTTTCATTTTCTGAAGAGGTGTTTAGGGGGACTATGCTGGAAAGGCAGGTGGGAGCCGTCTGTCCATTTATGCACCCATCGGGTATTTGTAAGTACCCACTCTGATGTGCCAGACTGTGATCGCCGTGTTGGAAAGACGGTTGTGATCCAAACAGACAAGCTCCCTCTTCTCGTGGTGCTTCCCTTGAGAACAGACAGGTGATAACCAGATAATAAACCAAGACCCAGGGTAATTTCCATTCGCGATCACGTTCTGAATAAAACAAAGCAGGGGGATGAGCTAGACGGGGCCAGGTGAGGGGAGGGACATTAGTTTTTTCAGATTTGAATTTTATCCTGCAGGCATTACCGAGCTACGGGTGTTCTTGTGAGCAATGGTTCACGAGCTGAACTATGGGGTTAGGACAAACCTTGGGGACCCGAATAAGATGGAGACAAGTTATAGGCTGTGTGTGTTGGAGTCCGGGAGGAGTGTGTACGCGGATGCTCTGCTCTAAGTGACCAGATACCCAACCTGAAGAGGCTTCCACAGCAGGGGTTTGTTGTCCACGTGATAACGTGTGTAGTAGGGGATCCTGGGCAGGTTGATTCAGACACAGCAACAACGGCAAGGGCCAGGCATTTTCCTCTTCCTCCTCTGCCGTCCCCAGTGCGTTGGTTGTGTCTGTGGGCATTGGCTTTGTCCCCGCGTGGCTGGTAGGTGGTCGCTGCAGCTCCAGACCTCCTGGCCTCCTGCCAACACTTCCCAAGGCCGCAGGAGGAGGCTTGCCTTCCCCAACTCTTTTTATCATGGAGGAAACCCTCTCCCAGAGGTCTCCTAGCCGAGTCCCTTTATTTCCCCTCAGCCGGGGCTGGGTCACGTGCGTGTCCTTAAACCAATCACTGGCAGAAAGAATGAAATGATCATGACAGATTGCCTTATTCAGTGTCCACTCTGGGACTTTGCAGGGGACCCGCTGTCCTCATCACTCTGCTGCTCAGTTCCTGGACAAAGCTGGGGGTGTGTTAGCAGGAAGAAGGCAGGTGACCGCTATTGGGGAGACGACCAAGAGTGTTTGCTTCAAGGTGTGTGGCAGATCAAGTGGGTTTTGATGGGGGATGTTGCGTCTGGAAAGGTGTGTGCCCATGTGTGCGGGGGAGGTCGCTCTTCTTGAGGAAGTGACACATTGACTGACCCGGAGCACGCCTCAAGTGGCTCACAGCTGACTCCTTTCCAAAGCCCTCTACACCAGCACCACCTTTGAGGCTCCCAGGCTCCATGGGAATGGGGAGTTACCGCCCCTGCTGTCCAGCTGAAGGGATTGAAGCCTGACGAGGGAAGTGACTTGCTCGAGCTCTCTCTGTTAGTTGCTGGCTGCGGGGAGAGTCACAGCTTAGACCCAATCTTTCTATCACCCATCCCAAACTCTTTCCACCACGCCACACTGCCTCTTTGAGTGATTTTTAAATCCTGAGTTTTAACAAGGCACTCTCAAAGAAGCATGTGTCTGGAGATCTCCATGGCTTGATGGTTGAGAGATTTGAGGTCTGTGGAGCTCCCACTCTGCTACTTTCCTCCAGAGAATTTTTTAGAGTCTAACCCAATTTGCATTTGGGACTCTGTGGCACTGGCTTCCTGAGCAGAAGAGGGCCCTTGTCCTATGAGCTAGGTTATATGAGCTGAGGGATCAGGGACAAGGACACGAAGATGGCCCATCATGGAATGGTCTGGTGAGAGGATCAGGACTTCTCAGTGGATCCCTTGTCCCTGTACTCTTTGCCCTTGAGACTTGCGTTTGATATGGCTTCCTGGGGGAAGCAGGATGCCTAGACCTGCCTCTTTGGGTTCGTGTTTGACTGATTCTTTTTCACCTTGGATTCTGTGGAGAGCATTCAAAGTCTTCCCAGAGCCCGCCAGGTCCTTATGCCCCCTTGTTTGGGAATGAGAACTTGTCCTTCCAAGCAGGCCGGGCAGATCCTAGAGAAAACGGGGAGTGGCGATCCCTACTGCGCAGGACAGAACAGAGTTCTTTCCTTACGGGATTTGCTAACCAGAGAGGCTGGACCTGGCTCACATCGCTCTGGTTGGGTACGTGCCGTCTACCTGGACGTTGGTTGTGTGTGATGGTTCAAACCCTCCATGACATAGCATATTTAAAGTCAGTCATAATAAGCTCTGAAGAATATCAGGATTGGCACAGGCTTACAGTCCTGCTTGAACTGCGCTGGAGCAGAACTATGTCAGATCCGTATATATTTCCTATATATAGGTCACATCTCCTGACGGACAGCTGTATTAAGCCGAGAGGGCAATTCCTCACCAGTGGATTTATAACGTCTAGTATTTCTGGATGTTAGTGTGTGGCATGGATCTGGGGAAACTTTCCATTCAATCCTTCATTTAGAAACATTCTTTTGGTGCCAGGCTAAGTAGGAGGAACATACTGGGTAAGACCAGCATGGCTCTTGCCCCGATGGAGTTATAGATCAGATGAACAAGCAGCAAGTAGATAAAATAATTACAAATGATGGTAAACAGCTTGAAGGAGACGGTGCTGTAAATTGTATTACAGTTAGCCTGTCTTATTTATGACTATGTTTAGGAAGGCATTTTTTTTCAGCCAGGGACAAAGTGATAAGGTCCCTCCCACCTTAGCAGGGAGTATTGCCGTGCGAAGGCTGTTAGGTCTCATGGCCGCACCTCCAAGGGTGAGGGGATGGCAAAGAGAGGACTAGAACTTTCAAATTGGTGGAAACTGCTTTTTCTGAGAATCTCTTGGGATGCCAAGAGACACTTTGGGTTTACCACTTACCCATTATCAACGGAGCTGTTGGCAAATTAAGACTGGCTTTGTTGGTTCATTTTGACTTGGGTGAATGTAGATTTTGCCATTGTAGTTCTTGGTTTGATAAAGACTATCAGAGAGGAAAAAGAAACCAAATGAACTGAGAAATAAAACAATTCTTAAACTGCGGCCAGGGAAGCGAGCAGACGTGTGAAGAGGAGTTTGCAGACAGCCACAGTATTGCTGTCAAATTTAACTCTTGCTGTGTGGCGGCCGTGCACTTGTCGGGGGTTAGTTGTCAAGGAGGGGACTCAGGTGACTGCCTCTGATCCTCAGCGCTCCTCTGGGAGCCCCCTTGGGAGAGCACCTTGCTGAGAGGCACGCATTGCCTGTGGGTCAGA